GTGGGCGGGGAGGGGTAAGGCGCGGAGCTCGGCGACGCCACGCGTCGATTTGGACGGACATACATCGCACAGCAGGACGTACTGAGCGAGCGGACTTCCTGTGGCCCACTTCCCCCCACGCTACGCCACGCCACGGCCGCGGCGGTGGCCCAGCGGGGCCCGGGGCCGCGGCGTACAGCCGTTTAGCGGACGACACCAAGGACCATATGAGGAAGGAGCAGGACCGTGTGGGCAGGCCGCAGGCTCCTCCGAAATACGCCGCGGCGAGCACGTTCATACAAGCGACCCAAATGACACACACACAAGACACGCGAGTCAATGAGCACGGGAAACTGGCGCCGCCAGGATTCGGCAAAAGGAGAGGGGGGGAGAGAGAGAGAGAGAGGAAGGGAGAGAGAGGGGGGGGGGGGGGGGGGGGGAGACCGCGTGACAGCGCGCTGCTGACGTCACTGCCGTCGCTCCCGCCGCTGCTGCTGAGGAAACCCGCGGAGGAGGCGGTCCGAGACCCTGACCAAGACTAATGCCAGCTAAACTGAGCAAACACGAAAATAAATTGACGACAAACGACATTGTGCCTATTTAAACAGAATAAAACATTCCGGTAAAGCTAAAATGCAGAAGAATGTGAGGAAGAGAAGTAAACAAAAATCGCTATGCTTCTACATGGTGACTTTTGTTTTCATGTTAGCTGCATTCTTCTGCATGTCAGCTTTATTGTCAGGAAGAAAATTTTTCTACAAACGCGCCAGATTTCAAGCAGGAGGGAAGTATTGGCCTCGAGGGCGATGCACAATCGCTTCAAGTAACTCAACGCACAGACAACGCGATGCTCATCGACACCGTGTCTAACAGTTCACTGCCGCCGTTGTCGTTAGTTATGGCGTGAACGGCCCGCTCGGCTCCGCCCGCCGCCCTTGGTCGACCGCAGCCTCCGCCGCTGCCCCACCTTATCAGCCTATCGGCCATCCCATCGGCCGCATGTTGCGCAGGTTATGATCCCCGCACCGGCTCTATCGGCGATGGCCTGTTTGCGAGGCGCCAGGCGCAGCGCCGGGGCGCCGCCGCCCAGGAGGAGGGCGATGAACATCTTCAGCAGCGCACTTGCGTAACCCAACAACGCTGCTGACGGAGCGGTGCCACCGCGGCGCGGACCCGAAAACACAAGGAAAGGGTCGGCGGGCACCGACCCGCGTCGTGGGCAGTGGGAGTGAAATGTTACCCCGGCAGGAGGTGCATTCAATTAACCTGAGAGGAGGCAGGGAGGGGTGGGTCCATCCATCACTCACGCAGGCGAGGCGGCGGGCGGGGCGGGGCGGAGCGCGGTCAGGGGTCACCAACGCGAGGTCGGGTTACCCCGCGCGGGCGCGGTTCGCGTTGCCGAGGAGTGCTGCTACGCCCCCTCCCCTCCCTCTCCGCCCCTCCCCTCCCTACTCTGCTCAAGGTCATCGGACTTGATCGTCGTTATTATTACTAATTTTGTTATGAAGATAAGCTGTCATTGCGGCCTGATAAAAGAAACTCATTTCGACTGGCCAGTCCTGCCACCAACGGCAAAAACATTCAAGAACCAGTATGTTTTTTGTTTCATAAAATTTGGATTCATTTTAGGATATTGTTTTATCGTTCCACAGCCAGATATACGTTCTGCTCGACGTGCGAAAGTCCATTTGTTAACATAATTAAGAAAAGGTGGTCGCACAAAGGACATGGGGGCAGACGGACCTGCCGGGAACTGCTATGCTGCTATGGGCCGAAAGTGGAGAGATGACCCCTATCGCCCCTGGCCAATGCAAGGCCCGGGTGCCTCTGATTAAAAAGAGTGTTAAGGGGGGTCAGGGCGGCGATAGGGCGGATACGCCCGTCATGGTGCAATTAGATTAGGTACCCACATACGGCCGGCTGTAAACGCGGCGGAAAGGGGAATTATAAAAACGAGACAGTGAGAAAATGAGGGAATGAATGAGAAAATGGTCCCAACTGATTAGAAACAAAGAAAAAAATTAAAAGAAGTTCGCCTCGGCCCCAAACACGAATACGTATACAAAAACCTCAAACTCGGACGGTATATTCAACTGCAACGGCATCTTTGATAGCTCACAGATCCCCGCTTTCGACCGAAGAATACTGCGGCTGCAGTACGATCATTGAATAGGTTCGCATTGGTGTCAAACTACCTTAACGTTCGATGTGACATGATACAGAACCCTAGCGGTCCCCGCCCCTAAGCCATTCACCTTGGGCGTCAACGGCGACACTTCCTGCACGTCCGAGTCCCACTCGGATGACAGGTCATCGCTGGATGCCTCGCCGTACTCGAGCGCGGCGGGGACGGACAGCGACTGGCGGTACTGCTCGTAGCCGGGCGACAGTAGCCAGGGGCTGGGTGACGGCGACCTCGACCTCTGGGGCGAAGCGGGTGCCGAGGACGTCGGCGACGACTCGCTGTAGCGCCCGCGGTGGTAGTAGAAGCTGCGCGGCGTGCCCGGCGTGGTCGCGGACATGCGCCGGGCGCCGTGGCCGCGGTGGTGCTGGTAAGGGTGCGTGGGCACGACGAGCATCGTGTCCTCGGTGTCGTCGTCCTCGGGCGGCGGCGTCGGAGACAGCCGGCAGGGGCGGTAGTGCGGCGAGCCGGGCGGCGAGGGCGTCGACGGCGGCCTCAGGAGGTCCACGTCGGCGTCGGTCTGCTGGCCGGCCGGCCGGTCCATGGCCTCTCAGTCCATCCTGGGCAGGGACGCCACCTGTAAGGCGCGGGGCGCTGGCTACAGTGTGTCGTGCCGCCTACAGTGTGTTCGGTGCGATATGACCAGGCAGACTTGGCCCGCCTGCGCTCCTAAGCCGCGCCGCTAATATTCCATGACGCACAAGCCTACCCCTAACCCGCCGCGGGCGGGACCCACCGCGCATCACCTGCTCACGGGTCACGGCGATGTGCCCACCGCTAGCGGGCCACCACTTTGAGCCCCATTGTGACACCCGTCCATCCCCCTCCCCCCTTTGCTACGATACGCCCCCAACCTCTTTCCCTACCTCGCCAGCCCCACTCTACTACCCC